AAAAGTTAGATAAATTAGATATATTAGTTATCATTGCAAAAGAACATATTCCATGCACTTTTGTCCCCCAAATCTTTGCATTTTTTTTCCAGGCCTTCCTATTTCTAGTCCTGCTTGAAATATAGCAAACATAAATTAGGATATTACTAATTCTAACAAAAATATTTCAAATATAGACTTCATCTACTTCATCTGCAAAATGTTTTATTTTGCAGTAGAGCGTAACATTTGAGACACAATAATATGAATGTTGCTGGCCTGGCTGCTATGATTTAACCACCTCCTGTCCGGCCGTTGTATATAAACGGACGGACAGTGGCAGTGCAGGGTCGGGTGGCCGTTTAAAAACTGCCTCCCCGCCCCCTGCTTGTGCGCACTTCCTGGAAGCGCACAGCACTGCGATCCAGTGCCCGCTGTGTCCTCTGTGCAAAGTCCCGATCATGTGATCACTGATTAGCCAATCAGTGATCACATGCAGAGTAGTAAGCAAGATGTCACTTCTGACATCATTGCTTACTACGTGTGAAATCTGTGAATGATCACAGAGGTCACATGGTACAAGGCTATTCACAACAGCCTTGTAACATGTGACAAGCTGTGACCAATCACAGCTCACACAGTAGTTCTCAATGGCTGCAAGTATGCAGCCAGAGAGAAGGAGAAATAATTGCTTTTACAGCCTTTATGGGTGTAAAAGCAATCCGTGTAAAAAAAAAAAAAAATCTTCATCAATCCCCACAAGTAGTACAGTGTCACCATGTTGACACTGTACTGCTAGGGTGACAGTATGTGAAAAAAAAACCATAAAATAATTATATAAAAAAATAAAATAAAAATGTAAAAAAAAGTTTAAAAATTATAATTTTTGGTTATAAATTAATTTTGGTTATTTTATTTTTTTTACTAAAAATATAACGGAATAAATGTTGGCCAATATTTGAGGAAATATTATTTATTTGCAAAATTTTATAAGAAAAACACTTTTTTTTTAATTTTTGGACTTTTTCATTTACATAGCAAAAAAAATAAAATACCAGTGGTGAATAAATACCACCAAAATAAAGCATTATCTGTCTCAAAAAATGCTAAAAAATTCATATGGGTACAGTGTTGCATGACCGCGCAATTGTCATTCAAAGTGTGATAGCACTGAAAGCTGAAAATTGGCCTGGGCAGGAAGGGGGTAAAAGTGTCCGGACTTGAAGTGGTCAAAGTGGTTCTAAAGGCTTGATTTTTTTTACTTTAGAATAATAAACATATCATACTTACCTGCTCTGTGCAATGGTTTTGCAAAGAGCAGCCCCGATCCTCCTCTTCTCGGGTCCTCCACCTGCACTTCTGTCCCCTTGCGGAGTGCCCCCAGAGCAAACTGATTGCTCTGGTAGCACCTATGTATGCTTACTCCCGAGCCACCTCTGTGTATCTCAGTCCCGCCCCCTGCTCCCTCCTCACTGACAGCAACGGGAGCCAATGTCTCATACTGCTGTGTCTCAGCCAGTGAGGAGAAAGAGACCTAGGAAGCCTCTGCTCTAATGCACAACGCTAGATTACGATTGGGCTTGGGTAAATACTAGGGGGCTGTAGGGGGAGCTGCACACAGAAGGTTTTTAAATCTTTGGAACCAAAATATTGTAAAGTGACACTGAGGCAGCTGCTGCTCTTTGAAGGGACTAGAGTTACATAGATGAGTTGCTCCTGCCACCATCTGAAAGTGTGGCAAAGAGGCTCTTGCACAGCATTTCCTTCAAGTGGTTGAAAACCCTTACATATACCCAACAAAGTGACTGGCCTCAGGTGACACACAGAGATTAAACAAAGCCTCCTACATAAGTATTACCTCTTTATTAGCATCCATTTCTTATGTAGAGACTGCTAAAACAATACAGATCAAACTGATTTTCCCAGCTCTAACAGGCAGATAACAGAAAGAGGAGAGATCAGAGAGAAACCAGACTCTGTGCTTTGGAGTCAGGCTAGTACACGCTATGTAAAGAAGTGCTTTATTCATTTTTCATGTCCTAGGTTTACAACCACTTTAGGGTGTCAATTTTGCGCTCTCTGTGATGGTGGTAGAAGATTTGCAATTTTACCCATTTAGAGGGGATCTGATAGGGTGGCCATTCAGTAGTGGTCAATCTATTTTATCACTGAAAGCAAGGGTCCTTGTACACATAAAGGATCCATATGTGATAAATTGCCTGCACCAGATGACCCAGAGTCCTTGGTGTCACTGAGAACAACATTGTCCTACTGTTAGGGCTGGGCTCCTGCTACATATCAGGCAGCTCTTTTCTTTCACTGCTCAGAAGCTGCTCAGCTGTCGGTTAATTACCAGCCACTTGTCTCCACAGTGACTCACCTGGATACCATTACCTGCCTCACTAGTCCAGGCTACACCTAGCCCTTTTTGCTATTTTAGCAGCTTAGCTCATTTCCTCCTTGCCCTTGCGTGTTCTGTGATCTCCAGTGTGTTCCTGCCTGTGTTTATGTGCAACATTTTTACATTCTGGCTCTATGGCTGTGACAACTTCATTATGAAATATTGCCATATAGGTGGTGAGGTAGTAGGTGATAAATAAGACCTTTTCCATGTCTGAGCAGAATGTATTACATGTGTAAAGCTGTCCATACACAGTAAATACTGTGACAGATGATGACACTCTGATGAGGGGGGATTGTTTGGCCCCTAAAAGGTGTTGGATTGTTGTTGTTATACTTTTGCCAGTTGTAGAGTAATAATATGCAAACTTGGACTGATATCATGTCTGCTTGGCTCTCCTTCTGGTTTGAATATACATAAACTTTTGCCTGAGGCGGTTTAGCAACAGATTAATGTACATTTTATGGATAGTTATATGAATCTGTCTCAAGATGAGCCATTTGTTGCATGCATGGGAGACCGATTTCTAATGTGTGTCTATAACACTCTTTATGAGTTCCAGGGATAGTGCCTATGTTGTTTATCAGATTATCTATAAATCCATGATCCCTTTAAATACATAAGTTAAAAGTACAAAAAGTACTATTTCATTGAAGTGCTGCACTAAATTGAACTGGCCAATCAGAATGAACTCTATGTATAAATATATACAGGGCAAAAAATATATGCAGTACAAATATTCATTCACAGTATATTCATAATGAGATATACAAAAATACTGTACATGATCTTGCTCCTCCTGCATTTTCTTAACAGCAGGACATTTCTGTATTCATTGGGTATGAGCATGTTATTTCAGTATGTATGAGTATGTTATTTTTGCTCACCTTAACAGACCAGGTAAGAATGGGTTAAAAATAAAATTAACCCTAGGGGAGTAAAGTTCCTCTTCAACTGACCAAGCAGAGGGACCAAATTGTGAATACAATTGTAATAAGTACATTAAATATTTAAAAAAATGTGAACAGAATAATAGCCAAAGCAAAAGATGCCAAGCATTTCCCACTAAAAAAATATAACAATTTTTACTTGTTATCCATAAAGCAGGTAATATCCTAGTCCATATAATAAGACCATGAGGGGCATATGTATACAGCTTATAAATCCACCATGTTTAACTCTGAGATACAGTATTTCTTGCTTCTTGTTGCATTCCCTCCAAGAGGAGATCACTTTCTATACTAACAAATATGATCACACTAGGATCCCTATTGTGGTTTTTGTCAAAATGGGAAGAAAGGTTATGTCCCTTAAATTCCTTCATAATGTTAAATATACAGGATGTTCTCTTAACCTGTTTTCTCCCATTGTACATTTATATATGAAATAAAAAAAACTCATGTTTCTCTAAGTGAAATATGAATACCTCAAGAAAATTCATAAATAATATACAAATAATGTATGTCCAATAAAGGATAAACAAAAAAGTGCTCAAGAGTGAACCATTGCCACAAAATAATAATTTAAATAACATAAATAAAACAGTCCTTATAAAGTGTGTAGAACAGTCCCCTTGTTCCGTGATGAATAATGGAAAATCTTCATTCCAATACAACCACCAACATGAATTTACACCACCATGGTTGAAGGCTTATCGGATCCTTGGACCCCCTAATTATAGGGGGTCAACACACGCCCAATATATATAATTCGGTTCAGGCTCATGTGTCTCAGACCAGATCACGTGCACCACCCAAGGCTCCAGAAGCCGCCCCGGTTTTATGGGGGCGACATATACTCATATTAAAATAGAGGTGCCTCTCTTAGTGCAGTAAGTTAAATTATACATAGCAGATTATTGTACCATTAGTTCCCCATCTTCGTTTGTAAAATCCAGTGGAGAAAACAGCTTGAGCAGCCAATCCACCTTCTAATCACTGTGTACAGAGCTGTCATTAGATAAATCTACAGAGTGTACAGAGTCAGCGCAAGGGACTTGGTACCACGAGCAGGGGTAGACTGACCATTCGAGCACTCGGGCACTGCCCGAGGGCCCAAAGTCAGCAGGGGGCCCCAAAAATTGCCTCTGGTACCTTTTATAGGCTTTTTTGGGTGTGTTTTGGGTGTGGGCAAAGACACAGGGGCCCCATGATCCCCAATTGCCCGGGGGGCCCAATGAGTTGTCAGTCCACTCCTGACTACGAGATCACTATGACAGCCAATCACAACTGTCACATGCTACTGTCTACATTGGAGATCTCTCCCATACCTCCTACAGTATGACCGCTTTCACATGAGTGCCATGCAGCCCATTCAGCAAGAGATCCATACATGATTTAAGACAGGGCTTGATTACTGACATCACACACTGTTGGTTTAGAGCAAGCTACAGCATCCATATGTGAGTTTTTGGCAAGCTTTTAACTAGTTGCCGACCACAGGTAGCCGAATGATGGCTGCACTGCGGCAGTCCAGTTCTGGGAGGCCGTCATATGACGTCCTCCCAGAAAGTGCTCTCCTGCACGCCCCCGGCAATCTCCATGATCGCTGTGTCCTACGGACACAGCTGATCATGTGATGTGGTAAAAGGCCAATTGAATGACACGCTGATAACCGGGAAATGCAATTGCCAGTTCTCAGCTGCACTTTCCTCACGCTGTCAGAGAGTGAGGAAAGTACTGCCGAGAATTGGCAGTTGTCAGAGCAGGGATCAGCACCAATCATCAGGGCACTGATGATCAGTGCCCTGATGATCGGTGCCCAGCAGTGCCACCCACCAGTTCCGCCCACAAGTGCCCAGCAGTACCACCCACCAGTGCTACCCACCAGTGCCCATCAGTGCCGCTCACTTGTGCCCATCAGTGCCACCCACCAGTGCAGCCCATCAGTGCCACCCACCAGTGCAGCCCATCAGTGCCGCTTGTCAGTGCCGCCCAGCAGTGCCGCCAGTCAGTGCCCAGCAGTGCAGCCAGTTAGTGCCCAGCAGTGCCACCAGTCAGTGCCACCTATCAGTGCTGATTATCAGTACCAATCATCAGTGCCAGCTCATCAGTGCCGGCTATCCGTGCCACCTCATTAGTGCCGCCTATCAGTGCCCATCAGTGCTGCCTATCAGTGCAGCCTCATCAACACACATAAGTGAAGGCAAAACATTTACTTTTTGCAAAATTTTATAATAGAAACAAAGAAACTTTTTTTTCACAATTTTTTGCTATTTTTTTTTTATAGTGCAAAAAATAAAACACCCAGCGGCAAGCAAATACCATGAAAAGAAAGCTCTATTTGTGAGAAAAAAATGATAACAATTTCCCATGAGTGCAATGTTGCATGACCGCGCAATTGTCATTCAAAGTGCAACAGCTCTGAAAGCTGAAAAGTGGCCTGGTAAGGGGGTATAAGTGCCCAGTAGGCAAGTGGTTAATTTTATTATAGTGTATTTTACACTGGATTAATAATTCTGTAAGTAATTCTGCACTGCTGTTTTTTTTTATTCTGGGAATGTTGTTCTGCTGAAAGGATTGTGACTACCGGGAACATATATGCACAATGAGACACTGGATGATCCAGCTGCCATTGGTGCCCATTGACAAATATGCCTCCGTAATTCAGAACCTTATATTTGGAAAATGACTACTATTTTTTCACCTGTTGGTGGTCACATATATTGGCCTCCTATAATTTTGGAATCTTTTCATTTCATGAGTTACCACCTTGTCTTCTTACTGGGTTACATCAGGAGTCTCTCTTCATCTGATGCAATCTTAGAAGGTATTTGTATAGTGGGTAATTTTATACCATTGAAGGTAAAAATTGCATTTATTGTTGGTGATTTTGCACCACTTGAGCTTTTTCTTTTGTGGACCGTTAATATTTAAAGACACCCCTACACATCGGCTAAAGTACAGTGCGTTTCTCTGTGGGTCAGGAATGCATGGGATTTACGCAGCTACAGAAATGTGAACCTAGCCTAATGAGAGAGGGGCAGGGATGTGAAGGATCTGAGACATCACACAAACATGCCATTTGAACCTCTGCTGAAAGAATATTTTACTGACAGGACCTCTTTAAAATGTTTAATTCAATACCCCTGTTCTATAAGGTCTCCCCAAACATTTATTGCCTTCCCTTGCATGCATCACTGGAATAACCTATCAGTGACTGGGAAAAGGCAAAATAAATATTCACAACCCTTTACATTCTATCATTTTATTGTAACTGCTTGTGAGCACTTCCCAATAGCAGATAGAAGCAAACAATGTCATGGGCTTAGGAAAAACACAGCAAACCCAGATATCAATATTATACAAGCTCAGAATATCAAGGCTACAGCCTAGCTGCATACTCAAAATTTAAACTAAGGATGCTAAGGCTTAAGGCAGGGTTTCTACAGACCTAATCAATAACCTAAAGTGGAATTTTTGACAGAAATGAAGTCTGGCTAGATCACTTCAGGCTGGCCCCTTTTGCAGGTATAGCTATGTAAAACATTAAAAATAAGTGTCTATACTGTTTAAAAACCATTACGCTGTCTCACGCTGCTCGGTACATGCTCAGTTGCTTTCTATTTTTAGGCATTGTGCCAAAAAAACGTAACTAAAAATGACCCAAATTTAGATCATACATTGTGAGATCAAACAATCTTGATAAAATAACAATTCTTCAATAAATCTTGTAGTTTCTTCTTATAGTAATGTCCCAAAGCCCATCAAAAAACGGCGCCACCTTTGTGCTCACAGAACTCTCACCTTAGAGCACATGAAAATGCATTTTGATAATGAATAGACAGAAAGATTTTCCACTTTCTTAATCCATAACCATATGGTAGTAATCAGACATCTTAAGTGTGCATTTGACTGTCAGATCAGAGCTAGGGATTGGTCCCTTTAAGAGCAATGGAGGTCTCATATATCCATCTTAAACGGAACAAGAAAAATTTCCATGGTGCAGTACATACTACCAGTATTATTTATTAAAAACAGTATTACACTCACATGTATTCAAAGATAAAAACACCTTAAAGCATAAAATCACCAAATGCAGGCTGTGAATCCCATCAGCTGGTTTCAGTAATCTCATCTGCTCAGAGCCACGCCCCATTAGGTGGCATCGGTTTTTGATTTTGCATAATCTCACTTGATGGGTTTTGGGACATTAATATAAGAAGAAACCACAAGATTTATTAAAGAATTGTTATTTTATCAAGATTCCTTGAGTAAAGTGCTACAGTTTCTGCTGAGGTATTTCTGTATTTGGATTGCTGACTCTCAAACCTGCATTCAAACAAACATATTGTGTGAAACCTGTTGTGTCGGCTTAATTCCTGACCCCTATCCTTCATCACAACTTGTATGTATCTTTATAGGGACTATACACCAAGAACAAAAGGAGGGGTTTAAGAAAACATTTTTCTTCTAGAGAGAGCTTAGAGTTTTGGGAGCTGGGAGTGGGAATATGTGCATAGGGTGTGGAATGTCTGCCAGGAAGTCAGGAAAAAAAAAACCCATTAAATTCTAGCAAAACAGTGATTGCAAATTAGAATATAATAATAAAAAGAAGCAAAACTCTCCCTTTTTTCTAGTCCTCAAATGATTTACAGCAGGAGAATCTGCCAAAAGTTGCTGATTTTCCTTCAGTTTACTTTTTATAGGAATAAAATGTTTACTTATGCATGGGGCCCTTTAGCACACAGTATTTTCAGCTGTTTCCTTCATAAGTGGTACTAAGCAACTGTACACCTTCCTCATAGGAGAAGATACTTTAAAAAAAAGTGGCATGCACGGGAGGTTACAAGTTTTAATAGTCCTTGATTGTCTGTTGAAGAGTTCAGAAGAGGAAATTGATTTTCAATTTTGCAATTGGAGCCAAGTGTCAGCTATATCTTTTTGCAGTTCAAGGACACTCACAGATGAAATGCAACCTTTTTCCCTCTGGTGCTCAATGATGGGGCATTTATATCATATCCTGTCAGCAGAGTGGGATCAGTTCATCCAACGTGCAGAAGATCTTGGGACATGTAGTCCCACAGCCAGGACACACTGCAGTCTTCAGCACCGATTGGACTACACTTACCGTAAAGCTGGCACCTGAAGTTAACACCGGGAAAGGAGATGGATTCCGCTGCTAAGGGTGGGCTCTCACTTGAGGCATGGGCACTAGAGCTGGACATGGGGGGAAGGACTACTGCCCACAGAGCCAGATTGTGGACCTACTCTGGCAGGACCCAGCACTCTAGTTTGTCTTAGCAGTACAGTCCAAGGACGCATCACAGTAGTATAGCCCAGCAGTCCAGGACAGCCGTTTAGCACAGTGATGACAGCAATCATCAGCTCAGGATGCATCCTCCATCCCTGCACAAGGTCAGTCACTGCCCGGTCCATTCATAGACATCGCTGTTTGCCACGCTGACAGGCCAACAAGCAGTAACCCTGTGCACCTCTACAGCAGCCAGGAGTTTAGGCAAGGATGCTGGTACCTGGGAGACTGACATCCAAAGGATAGGTGAGCGGGTGGATGCGCACCTTACCTTTTAATACTCTACTCAGAGACACTGCATGCAGACACCTTTACCCCCTTATCTATTAAAGGCCCTTTGCTGGGAAGCACCTTGTCTATTCTATTCACTTTGCTGGTTGCCATTGCACAGTAATACCTTTGGGCTACTTCATAGCTAGCTGAAGACCATGGATACCCTTACCTCAAGGACTCTTCAACTCATAGGATTCAGCCTGGCGATTCTATCACTGGCTAACCCCACTTTTGTCTTTCTCTAGTGTAGCAGTTATTTATCTCAAAGAGCATCTTTCATATATTGTGTTTTGTCCTTTCCTTTTTGTCAGGGGCACCAGGGCTTTGAGAGATCTGATTGACTAAAAGTCCTTTTTTAACCCTCTTGCTCCTGGGATCAGAGGTTCACCTAGGGTCTGTTTGCCTTACAGTCAGGTCCATTGTCACGGTCATTTTATTGCATATCTTTGTGACTCTGTTTAATGCTATACCCTGCAATTTGGCGAATACCTACAGTTTAAATTTTTTCTGTCTCCTGTTGACTTAAATGCTAAAATATTATCTTGTAAAACTATTCCTTTTGGGTTTGTTTTGCATTTGTGCTTGCAGTAATTTTTTTCAACCAGGTGTGTCAGAGGGGCCGAGATTGTTCCTGGAGTTGAGGCGCAAAACAGAGAACCCAAAATCATCAAGCAGCTCATTCAGGGGTGGCGCTACACTATGTTGCAGCAGAACCTCCTGTAGCCACATATCGCACCATGTTGCACTGAAGCACTGAATCTAATTAGTTGCTCAGTGTTCACCAGTGCACACTGTGACAAACGCGGCGTCAGACCCCTGACCTTCCACCAAACTCGTAACCAAAGGACTAGCTAATCTAAAACCGTGCGTAACATTGCCATGCCCAGCTGCACCCTGCACAACGATTTTCCAGCTAATTCAACCACAATCGGTGTACTGGCAGCCTGGGAGCGATTGTTACTGGGTCAGGTTAATTACGCAATTAACCCTTCACACTGCCACCACCTCCTTTTTGTACAGAGAAAGAGGAAACTCGGCTATTCCAGCAATAACACTATGATGGTTGAGCTAATCGTCTGTATAACACTGTCACCGCAGACCGATTTATACAGAGGGTTAAACAAACACAGTAGCGCTCTTTTAGAGGCAGGAATTTGTAAATTGCATTAACGAGCTATAGAAATAGTTTAACGCTTCCAGAAGGAAAGATTTATCACTAAAAGGTCAAAAGGGTGCAATAAAAATATTTACAGAAAAAAAGATGTAACCAATATATATATAAATATACAGAGAACAACAGCACAGCAGAGAGGTAACAGAAAGGAGGTTAAAGGGTTAAAATACTTGCCAATCAGCCTTGGGTTTGCAGATCAAGTTTCAGAGCAAAAGGGCTGTCTCCCAAGTTGGTTCTGATGTTAAACGGGAGAATTCTTCAACTTAACTCTCTTAGGCCTGACAGCCCATTTTGTAGTTCCCCAGCAGGGGGTGT